ATTTTTTAGTGTGAATGATGTGTTGTATTTTGATGTTTTAGCCGCTAGAGGGCACTTGTTAACACAAAAGATAACTTAGAAGATCCCTGGCAGCGCTTGTTTTGACATCAAAATAAGGTATTTGTGAAGTCCTGTAATAAATGTATGTTTAATGACTCAAAGCTATCCTGTGAAAGATATAGTTATCAACATTGCTCTATCATAATTGGACTCTCTCAAATAGGCCGAGGCTATGCGGGCTGTGTCTGTCTCATTACTGATCATTACTGACTATCTTAAGAACAAGACGTAACTTCCAGAGTTTACCTGTTTATGTTTATGTTATGTTACCTGTTTATGAACTCTGGCACAACACGTGGCCCCTGTGCGCTGTCCAGTGCTGTGGTGCTGAAACCGGAGCTGCCGGCTGCCATTACAAGCGACAAATCTGAATTATACGCGCACAAAGACAATGACCAGCCTTCAACCTCCAACATATGACTGACACGTGGTACACGTCGACCCTGTGAGATAAGAGAGATAATGCGTGATAATGTGTTCACGGTCAGGGTAGACTATAAAGATAAAAAATGTGTAAACAAAAACATCCTAATTCTTACAATGCTTAACAGAGAAGCAAGCCAACTAATATTTGTATCTTGGAACTTCAAAATTGTTGTGAAACATTTGCATTTACATCAGTTCATCATTGAACATGTATTACATCTGCTTCGTTTTGTCTCCACTTGCCTACATTACAAAATTTTTAACATTCTGATGAGGGACCATTGGTAATTCCTTCAAATCAGGAATCAGTCCTTTGCTTGAAACACATGGCTCTCGGAGTTAGAAATTATTTTAAAAAATATCACCAATTACCCCTAAACCAACCCTTTTAAATTAATGGGAAAACATTAAACTTTAAATTTCATCTTTTCATTCATTTTCAATTCTTGTGTCCCATTAGTTGTTGTTTTTTTTTTTTTTTTACCTGGATAAGGATTTAGGTCAAATTATTATTTTATTCAATACATTCTTCTTCAGCTAAAGCTACTTTAAACACCTGGGTTTGAGAGTGTCTGATCTACAAGGTGCATATGCCTATAGAATCCTAAATTTGATCAAATAAAAATAATGTTATTTGGTTTACATCATGTCTAGGTATATCTCTCCACTTGTACCTGTCACAGAACCCCATGAATCTTGAACGTACAAGGCTCAAAGACACTCTAGTGCTTCCTCTAGAATTTGAATGATGACCTACATACTTCCTGTTCCATCACCCTCTCTAACAACACTGCATTGTGGCCATGACAGAAACTACCTGCCCCATATCCACCCCTGTGTGCTTCCTCCAGGCTCCCCACAGAGGGCCAGGCCACAGGGGGTCTGGGGCCAATGACCCTGAGGGGACAGTGGCTTATTTGAGATGAGAGGAATAACTTTGGGGTAGGGGGTCTCAATAAGAACTCCTCTAAAATACTAGGACAATAGATGTGCATATGACCTCCTGTAGGTTTTCAATCATCTGATGGACTTAGGTTTACTTTCCCAAGTCATAAAGTAGAAGTGGATATAAACACTACTAATGACAACAACCACACCCGTATTTAAAGGTGTTAGATAACTCAAGATTACTCAAGATCAATAAAAGGTTAGGGTGCTAATAAATGACATACACAAAAGCTTTATTATTATTGTATTATATTTTGACTTGATACCTAAAAGACTAAAATAGTACAATAATTAATATAATTAATAAATGCTACCAGGAAATCCTTTATATCAGTACCAAATGTGTAAATGTAGGAAACAATAATAGTATCTGTAGAATTTTAATTTATGTGTTTCATTAATAGTCACTTTATAATGAAGTTGTTTGAGAGATCTTTGTAAGCATTTTATAACTCAATCTTTTAAGTGTGTACAATATTCTAAACAGGTTTGTCATTATGAGATGAATAATCATTTTGCCTTTTCTCATTGTGCCTTCTTTACTGCATCCTGTGGGTCAGTAATGCTGCTTAAATGCCACAGTGAAAACCCTGTGAGAAAAAGATGTGGGGAGCCAGGCCTCTGTGCAGGAACCAATAGGCCTCAGTGTGTTGGGCCAAAGGGCTTCATGTGAGAGGGACCGCAGGGCTTAAAGTTAAAGATTACTTTGAAATCTGCATTAAACTCTTCTCCTCCTGCTATGCCCCCTCCCTCCCTGCAGCCGTCACTCCCACTCCTCACAAATAAGAAGCTGTCGCCACAGAGCTGCGGATGAGTTGAAGCAGATCCTCTTTGATGACAGAGAAGGATCCTTTTGTTCTCACTAATCCCCACTCAAACCCACCACTCCCCATTCCCACTGAAGTCCACCTCAATGTTATTACTGCTACTACCTGTGTCACTTTACATGGACAAAATCCTTGTCAAATTGAAATTGGCAGCAGCTTCTTGCATTTTATAGAGTAATCTATGACAAACCTGTTTTGCTTAAAGTTAGGTGTATCCAATTAATAGCTGTGATTATTCAGGTCACAATATAATTAAATAATTATGAAAAGTTGAAAAAGATAATGATTGTGAAACTCTTAGAGAGAAATGTCATTTCAGTTCAAGGTATAATTTACTTCTTTGTCAGAAATGCAAATTTCATTAAACTGGTCTTCAACTAAAAGAATCTCTATAAATTTCACTGTTTGCCAGATATTGTGACATCCCAAAGACTGAGTTGCTGCATATTACCATAACCCACATTATATACAGTACATACAAACATACCTGACATAGGTGGATCTGAACAGTCATACTCTTGCCAAAGGGTAAGACACAGAGACATTTGGGATGTGTCTGCTGTCTTATGCTCCCCTAAGTGTCCACAGTGTCATTATCAGATTTGACACACACATTTCACAGAACAGATGAAAGTGCTCCTTCTTCTTGTAACATCTGCCTTCTGACGCTGACCCCAAACATATCGCCTGAGGAGAGGCAGCAGTGTGTGTGATCACATGTTTGCACGTCTGTGGAGCAAAAAGGGACACTGTGTATGGATCACTTTACATGTAACTGTCAACATACATGTCTATAGGCATATGACTTAGCAGCACTAAGAATACAAAAGGTCAAAGTTTGCTGAGCTTTGGTGAGAGGGAGCTTCATTAGTAACGAAAGTGATTTGGAGATCTGTGGACCAAATTTTCAAAACTCAGTATCAAATAGAGAAATCAATATTGCATAAAGCATGTAAAGCATTATTTATACTGACACATCAGCAACAAAATTTATCATCACATTGTTAGCTGTGCTCAACTTCAATTTAACATGTAGGTTTACTTAGATCTTTAGGGACTGTTTTAACAGCACACGGATAAATCTATTTGTCCTTTGTCTCCCCCTGGTGGTTTAGAAATGAATAAAAAGTATGTCAGTTTATTATGAGTTTCTGTCAAAGCACATTTATGCTAATTGTTTGTCTTTATAAGACAAACAATTCAACCTCAGACATGTAGTTCAAAATGACGATTATGCACATATTATGACCAGACTGCCACACTGAGAGGCATTCAATTTGAATCAAGAGATACGTTATTTTGTACATATGGATCTATTGAAAAAAATCTGTAATGGACATTTAGTCCAAATAGATCCACCAAAAAGGGTCTAATTAACTTGAGTGGACCACAGGTATGTGAGTCATGGTAGCCCATGGGATGGATATCAGCACACTACCTCTGTGTGTTCTTTCTAACTCCTGTTTCCTCTCACCACAACACTGTTGTCTGAGGGCAGCAAGTCTCTTGAGGTTATTTCATCAATTGATGAATTTCTCTGTAACATTCTGGTAGCGGCAACTTTCTCTGTCTAACAGATTCCCTGGATTGCTTTAATAAAACCCAAATAATTGCCATTACATATATGCATGTGTAACTTTAGTGAATATAAGTCTATAAGTCTAGACTAATGATATTTTAGAAGTAGGCCTATTTGGTAATCTACAATAAAAAAACTAAAGCAGGATTGGTGACACCATACAAAATTCTAGCCTGCAGTATTATATGTCAGCAAATATATATATATACTATTTACAGATTGGTGCAGGAGTGGCTTGTTAGTAGAATATTCTAATAATCAACTGCAAACCTTCACCTGTATCCTAGAAAACTTTTACTTTTATATCAAACAAAAATATCTGTCCATTGTAAACATCTAAATCTAAATCTGATTACTGGCTTTTCATTCCAAATTGCAGAAGTAAGAGACCCTCCCTCTTCATAGGCTTCACTATATCAAGCAGCAAATTTTCAATTTAGCCTTGTTGTTTCTTACATGCTTGACTGTTTCTTAAATTTTTTTGAAAGTAATTACAGAGCAGTGGGCAGGGATAGGAAGTAGGGGAAAGCTGGATTTTTTGAGCACTCAGGCCTCGAATGAAGTTCAAAGATTAGGCAGGATCTCTAGGCATGAATCATTCAAAATTGGGGTGACCAGATTTTCAAAATTCAAAACTGGGACACACTCGGGTTGGGATGGTTGATGTAAATAAAGCGTAACAACCATCAGTGAGTTTTCTGTGTTTTAGCTTAACAAATCTACACCCCTCTTTACTGTTGGTGGGTAATACATTGGTCAAAAATAGGAACAACTGGGACATTTCTTTTATAAAACTGGGACAAATGTGTGGTTTTGGAGAAATCTGCTGGGACAGGGGACACATGGCTCAAAACTGGGACATCTGGTCACCCTAATGAAAATAAAACTCAGTGTGAGCAAATGATGATAGAACACTGTAATAGCGCGGTAAAAAGCTCATAAATTGCAGCGAATATGTGCCTTTAAGAACAAATAAAGAGTAAAATAGCGTATATTTAGGTCCGTTGGAAAGGACTAGTGCAGTGCATGTTATGATGTGGGTTACTGATGCTGCATGATGACCGAGAGTAACCCCACTGACGTCCCTGCTGCCCCAAGCACGCGCCACCTCCACTCAGCCAATCAGCGACCAGAACGCTTCATACGCTCTGTAATGGCTTCCGGGCTGGCAACACTGGCCCGGTGATGCTCAGATTGCCTATTTTCACCTAATTTATCGTCATTTTAGTTCATAGTTATAACTGATTTTTATTTAAATGCAACATAGTGACTTGTTACAATGTCAGATCTATTGTTACATTGATAAGCGCTCCTCCATCCTTCTGTGATCCTGGCGTGCAGTTAGCAGTCGAGAAAAGAGGTGAGAATGTATGGCTCTGTGGACGCTTTGCAGATGTTGCTGTTGGTGAAAATTATTGCTAGAGCTGTGCATTTGGTCTCAGAGAGGTCGTATTGACAAGGGCTTATTATTACTACTAAAGTGATGGAATATCTGCAGTTTATTACGCCTACATTGATCAAACATTGTAGATAGGTCCGCGTGCTACCATCATTGTGAAACAGCTGCAGTGGCTAACCCAGACAGCTAACATTACAGTCTAGCCGCTAAGAGCTAGCAATCTGAGCTTTCCGCTACCAGCTACTATCTGCTGTGAGGGATGCATGCTTATAAAAGAAACTCTGTAAGACGTCCACTGCCGTAACAAGAAGTATAAACTATACACTGTATTTACAATGTGGCTATAATGAAAAGCATGTCACTGGTACAATGCTGTGGATGTACCTTCAAATTGTTACTGTTTGCTGAGTGCCCGATGCTATCCGAGTCCGCTGCAATCAGATAAATAAAAGGCGTCTGTGAAAATAAACATCCTTATCTGATACAACTACATAAACATAAAAACCTGCACTTAACACTTATGACTAAAAGATAAAATAGGTAGTGTTAGCTAATAGACTACTACTGATGTCACATGACCTTCCTAGATGTTATTTTCACGCGGGATGAAAAAAACAGAACAGATTAAGATACTACAATGGTTTTAGTGGTGCTTTTGCGGACTGTAGTCTTCAATTCACTAAAAGCCTTTTGTTATTTGCTATTACTCATGCATCAGCTATGAGTTCGTTATTACATGACGAACCTGTGTGACTGGCTACTGGTTCACCTTTACAGCCACTGAGGTTTTAGATGCAGTGATTGATTTTTCACATTTAGGTGACAAATGTCTGTACTGACGCTGTGTACAGGAGACCACAGGGTAAAGTTCTTACAATATCTAATTTTTTAGTTGGGGGACTGCATTTTTATGGCCTTTGGGTGTTTTAGTGTGCTGAATAAAAGTTATATTCTGCAGGAAATCTAACATTATCTGTAGATTTGTTTTGCATTATGTATAGCATGAGGATGCTGTCTCTTGTTTCATGTAGAGTCCGTTGCATCTGGAAGTACTGAAACATTAGCCAACCAAGCATTGGTCAATTCTCACATGACCAACCTCAACAACCTCAAAGATCCAGGATCCAAGGACAGATTTGCATCACTAGCTTCTAGGCAAGATGGCAAACTACCTTTTTGTGTACTATTGTAAATAGTCACATGGGGTGCCAAAAATATGGCCTGGAGGACTAACCGTTTAGCATACAAGGAGGTCCCTTTAATTATAAAAAAAATCTAAAAATATAAGGAATCAAATACAACTGAAAAACTGATGATTTTACTAATGATTCAGTTGGACTCATTTTAAAATATTACAAACTTGGGATGATGTTTTCAGAATTTCTTATTTGTGTATAGTAATTGAAACATATTTGATGCTATTAGTAGTGATGCAGTATCCCAGTTTGCATAGACTATCCTCTGAGTTGCAAGACCTATGACAGAAATTGTGCTGATTCAGAATAAGCTAAGAATAGAAAGAAACCGATTGGGAAAGGCAAGGATTGACTTACCCTGGGCTAATTATTGTGTGTACAGACCTAAGCTGCTACTTGATATTGCCAATGTGCTGATGGAGCTAGATGCAGGGAATCTCTCTTATGTCCATGTATTTATATTCTTTTGAAGGTCTGATAGCGCCGTCTCCCTGTTCTCATCACTGACTGAAGTCTCAGTTTCCTCTCAAAAGATGAAGCTCAAAGAGGACATTAACCCGCTCCTGCTGCAGGTGTTCCGGTCAGTTGTGTGGGTCTACTCCGTCATCACCTTCATTCCCTGGTATTTCTTCTCCGGGGCCAGCACCAACTTAGATAGAGCTCGGCGGATAAAGGCACGCTCCATCACTGGACTTCCAGCTGGTCCGTACAGAGCGGTGAACTGCCAAGGTCAACTGGTGGCATGGCTGCACCCAGGGGTGGACACTTTGGACAGAATGTTTGAATATGCTGCCAAGAGGTTCCCTGAGAGAGACTGTCTGGGCACAAGAGAAGTGTTGAGTGAAGAGGATGAGGTGCAGCCCAATGGGAAGGTGTTTAAAAAGGTGAGGACACAAATCAAAACCCTCTTGTTATGTTATTATTGTTTGGATTAGGTGATTATTTCATGACATGAACAAGTCACAGCAATATTGCAGTTTAAATAATCAATTAAATAGAGAGGTAATTTCTGCTAATTCTGTATCTTAAAAGCCCTCTACCTCAAAGAAAGAACAATGTTTTTATATCAAGTGATTGGTCAGCTGTATTACAGCAGATAGCATCACAATATTGGAGGTAAATATGGCATGCATTTTTTCACCTTAGTTATCAAGTAATTGTTTAAGGCTTCTGGGGTCTGTATACATTAATTGATTGGAGACTTTCAGCAAATAGTCTGAGAAGTGAAACAATCTCATGAAGCTGCGGCCAGTACTGTGGCCAGCACATGAGCTGCGGACTATCTTGCTGCAGATTTGTCAAGTACATTTTTGGTAAATACTTGAAGTAATGTTCTGTTTTTAAAGCTTTGATGATGAAGTTTTTGTCAGGCACCATAACTGTTCTTGTGGTTCTTAGCATTGTCAAGAAATATCTGGAGAAGTAGTAACGTGTCCCTATTGGACATTTGCAAATCTGCAAACATCCTGCAGAGGGCACCAGAGTCCTGTTTTTCTACAACCTTTCTCCTGTTGTGTGCCAGTAATCAAATCAAAGCCCATAATTTCTTAATTGAATGAAATATTAATTCTTGGCATCTTATGAATAATCATGATTTTGCTTTGTGTTTGACATATTGTAGGTAATTTTGGGTAACTACAATTGGCTGAGCTATGAAAAAGCCTACCATGCAGCTCAAAGCTTCGGCAGTGGCCTGGCAGCTCTTGGGCAGAAGCCCCAGTGCAACATCGCCATCTTCTGTGAGACCAGGGCAGAGTGGATACTGGCAGCTCAAGCCTGTTTTATGTACAATTTTCCATGTAGGTCACAGTCTACCTAGTGTATTCAAACAGATATTATAGTATAGTATAGTTGCTGACATAACATTGTTTTTCTAGTGGTAACTCTTTATTCGACTCTTGGACCCACGGCTATCGCACATGGGTTGAATGAAACTGAGGTCACCCACATCATCACAAGCAAAGACTTGCTGCAGAGTCGTCTTAAGGTAATTTATATAGTAACCTTTGTAATTTGCACACACACTTCCTCTCCTAGATCTGCACATGTTGCTAAGTTACTGCTTTTTAAATGGCCTTGGTGCTTTACATGCCTCACGTCCTAATTATTCTTTTCTCACACTTTCTATTCGCCCACCTACCTAGGCGATACTGTGTGATGTGCCAAGGCTCCAGTACATTATCGTCGTTGACAACAAGCCCACGAGCTGGCCTGACCTCCCCAGAGGCATAGTGGTGAAGAACATGGACACTGTGAGGGACTTGGGATCTAAGCCTGACAGCAGTGAGTATTCATGCAGGCAGATTAAAAAGGTTTCTAATTTTGTCGGGTAAACGGAAGTGCACTGATGGAGCCTAATACAAAGCCCACGCCCTAATGTTTTGATGAATGAAAATTATTTGAGGCGTGACACAGCAAGCTTAAGGTCAAATCAGTCACAAAACAGCCATGGTTCCTTTGGGCATTCATCCATGACTTTCAGAATAATTAAAAATTAGAAATGTTGCCATAGTGATTAACAATTTGGAACAAAATATATTTTTAGAATGGGAAAAAAACTCAAAAAGGTGCACATAATAGGAAACTGAAACTAGGGATGGGCGATATATCTGATGCAGTACTGATTCAGTGGTATCAGCCAATATCTATACTTGAAAACAAGTATTCTGTACCTATATTCTTTTGCACTGTTCCATTTTCTTTGTACCCTTTTTCAACAGATTAATAAGTCAAAATGGAGAGCGTGTGACTAATCATTTTATATCCCACTAACATCCATTTAGTTATTATTTTTAGAAGTGAAAAAGTTAATTTTTGATTGTTATTTTCAGCAGGTACTTTTATGTATAATTTGACAATTTATAACCAATTAGCACTGTACATTGCACTTTATGCATCTGTGTATTGATTCATATATTGTTAGGAAATCTTGTCACAATATATTAGAGTTTATCAGTATTTTTTGTGACTAATATGACTCGCTCACTTTATTGCCTGGTAGTTCTTCTCAGTAGTAATCCTGCTCTCTGTTCCATTTCCTCCTTCATTTTTGCAGTTTCAGTTGACCGCAGACAGCCAGTGCCCTCAGACATTGCAGTCATCATGTACACCAGCGGCTCAACAGGCATCCCCAAGGGTGTCATGATCTCCCATGGCAACATCATCGCCTGCATCACGGGCATGGCTGAGCGGGTACCCAACCTCAAGTACGTCCATTTCCCATCCTTTGTCCATTTCTCTTACTTCTTCTCCCCTGTGGTGTCATTGTCTGTCTCTCACCTCAGTTTGAGGTTGCTTTTTTTGCATAACATTACTCAGACTCAAACTTGTTACTTTCGCTCTAGTGAAACGGACACGTACATTGGCTACCTGCCATTAGCGCACGTGTTAGAGCTTAGTGCTGAACTGGTCTGCATCTCTCATGGATGTCGCATTGGCTATTCTTCACCTCAGACACTTGCTGACCAGGTAACCAGCACACTGTGTTAGAGGTTGTGTTGCCTTTTTATTATTATTTTATCATGACTTAAAATGCTATGTTTCTTTTCAGTCTACCAAGATAAAGAAAGGTAGTAAAGGAGACACAAGTGTGCTTAAACCTACTCTGATGGCAGCTGTACCGGTAAAGGCATTTGAAATATTTTACTTACATTACATTTTAAGAGATGCCATTGTCTTTAATCAAACACTGTCATTACATGTCAAATCCTTGGTGTGTGTGTAGGAAATTATGGATCGGATTTATAAGAATGTCATGACCAAAGTGGAAGAGATGAGCAGGTTCCAGAAGACCCTCTTTGTTCTGGCATACAACTACAAAATGGAGCAGATTTCAAAGGGCTACAGCACACCTCTCTGCGACAGGTTAGCTTAATAAGCAAATTCATCTGTTGATGCATCCGTGAAGTTAACTTGACTAATTTTTTTTTTTGGTCCCTACAGGCTAGTATTCAAGCGTGTACGTGCACTGCTGGGAGGACACACGCGGCTCTTGCTTTCTGGAGGAGCTCCTCTCTCTGCAGCTACACAGCGTTTCATGAACATCTGTCTCTGCTGCCCCGTGGGACAGGGTTATGGCCTGACGGAGACCTGCGGTGCTGGCACCATCAGCGAGGGTAGGTTCATTATGTAAAACTGTTTGTTGTTTTGGCTTCCTCTGGGAAATTAAAAGAGGAGACACTGTAAACATGACTGTTTTTTGAAACTTGTTCCACTAATCACATTTGTGATGTTTTTTAGCTTGGGACTACAGCACAGGACGTGTTGGTGCACCGCTTGTGTGTTCTGAGATCCAACTAAAGGACTGGCAAGAAGGTAAGCCATACATCAACCTATAAAAAGTGCATAGAATTATTGGAAAGTTTCAGTTTGAATTTTTAATTATTTCCATGTACTCTCCTAGGTGGATACTACAGCTCAGACAAGCCCAACCCACGAGGGGAAATTTTAATTGGTGGTCCCAATGTTACCATGGGTTATTACAAAAATGCAGGAAAAAACCAAGATGACTTCTATGTGGATGAGAAAGGTCAGCGATGGTTCTGCACTGGAGACATTGGGGAGTTTCACTCTGATGGATGCCTCAAAATCATCGGTAGATTATTTTTTTAAAACATTTATGCAAATAAAAAACTGTATGCAAATTCTGTAAAGAATTGTTTTCTCATAGATCGCAAGAAGGACCTGGTGAAGCTGCAAGCCGGTGAATATGTTTCTCTGGGGAAAGTAGAAGCTGTCCTGAAGAACTGTTCTCTCATTGATAACATCTGTGCCTATGCAAACAGGTGCTCTTAACATATATATGTATTTTCTTAACCTAAAATCTTTTATTAATAACAGTCTCTGGCTCACAGTGACCAGTCCTACGTGATCAGCTTTGTGGTGCCTAATCAAAAGCAGTTAATGGCACTGGCTGAGCAAAAGCAAGTGAAGGGCACATGGGAAGAGCTCTGCAACAACGCCCAGATAGAAAAAGAGGTGCTTCGCGTCATCACTGAAGCTGCAATCTCTGGTAACAGCACAAATCTATAAACAGTATACTTTATGAAATCTGAAATTGTGTGTAACATGAGGAATGATGTCATGATGAACATCCAATACAGAGAAATTGCAACCAGTGACTAGCCACAACAATTATGGACATTCATACATTTATGTAATTTGTAATAATTCAAATTTTTCTGCTCTAGATTCATTTATAGTAGTTCTTGGTGATATTATTTGCGTACAAAAAGCACTGGTTAAGTGCATCAGACACAAATACCTTGAGGGTGGCCATCTGTGCTCACCTCTTCTTTAGCTGCTATACAAGTTGACATTTTGTCTCCACTTCCTCTGATTTGTGCATGTGATGTATGAAGATATAGTATAGAAAAATGCTATATATTTTTGTTTATTGTAGGAAAACTGGAGAGGTTTGAGATCCCCAAGAAGATTCGTCTGAGTGCTGAGCCTTGGACCCCAGAGACTGGATTAGTTACTGACGCATTCAAACTCAAGCGCAAAGAGCTCAAAACACACTACCAGGAGGACATCGAGAGAATGTACGGCGGAAAATAACATTCGGAAAACACAACTTTATATTTGCACACATTTATGAGGAGTCCAGATACCACTAGCTGGATGAAGACATACTTTTATTTAGACATGCACACATTTGCAGGAAAACTACTCCATGGCTTTCCTTAACCAGCTTCTATCAAAGAAGGAAAAAGAACTTGAATCCATCCTAACACTCCATGTCATGACCAAAAGGCTGCAGGTCCCCTAACTAAACCATACAAACACGGGGCGCCGCAAGCACTGTTTTCCTCTTTTGGACCGATTTAGCCCTTAGAGTCGCCATGACAACCGAGGTGGCACATAAAGTCCGGGTGACTTGAAGAGAAACAAATGTCAGGCTGTGTGGATCAATGTCCCCATGTCTTGTCTGTTGCTTTTTATTATATTCCATCCTTTTGTTTGTCCACTCCTCTCCTGTAGTGGTCTCAGACTTGTAGTGTAGGTATTTGATAGGGAAAGATGGAGGAACTTATGCAGGGATTTCTTCTTTATCTGGTATTACATTTTGTGAGGAAATGCTTTTAAGAATGTTCTTGAATGCTTTTTCATACTGTTCATATTTTTTTATTTTATTTGTTTTTATAATGCTCTTTAATCAGTTGTTTTTTTACATGCTTTATTTTTATCCCAAAAGACTTTACTTTGGGCATGTATGTTCTGACTTGACGCATTTTCCCTAAGGCCTTCACTGTAACGGTCAAATGAGATTTATCTTTATTTCTATCCAGGTTTTTATTGGTTTACTGATATGGCCCTACCACATTTGCCACTAACACACTCCTCAAGTCTCAACCAAGTCTCCGTTCGGACTTCAAGGGAACCTAGCCTGTAGCATAGTTACATATAGGAGATGTATAGATTCAGCAGTCTTCGATAACAGTTTAATTCCATCCTTTGAGTGCGATGTTTTGTGTTCTCATTTTGCTCCTTTTAGATTACTAGTATACTTTTAACTTTTGTACTTACAATAATGACATATGAAATGAATGTGCAATATTTATATACACATTTTAAAGTATTTAGGAAGGAAATTGACCCTCCTTTAGTGTATGAATGTTTAGGGCCTCTTCAATGAAGGCAGAGTTTATGAAATTTAAAATCAGAGTTCACATAGAAACGGTAGAGACACTGATTGGGAAGTCTACATGTAGCCCATTGAAATGTAGTATGCTCAAAAATTAAAATTGTTATTTGGCTATATAGAAACTGCATGATGAAGTGTGTGCAAATATACCAAAGTGCTTGAACATTTACTTGAAATTGGGGTTAGAAAATGGCACTCCGGTTACAACAACTGAAGACATCATAGCAAAAGTTTGCCAAGGAGAGAAGAAAAAAAATATCCATATCCAGATTGTGTGTTATAATGTATGTGCAATGTATATAAAAAGGGTTGACTTTTAACTGCCATTATATATTTAACCATATAAACAACTTACTGGTATTTGACAGGCGATGATGCACCCCTGTTTTTGAGCTGCTTAGTTTGTTCTTTACATTTCTCAGGCAGGAACATGCAAGAGGAGCCTACTTTGAATGCTAAATTTCATTTGCTTGTACTAACTCATAGGATTGACAATGGTACAGTCAGTTTTAAATGTTCAGATGCCTACAATGGTTGCAATATTCGCATGTCAACTGTTTGACTTTAGGGGACCCCATTTTTCTTGTTATTTTTTTTTTTTTTTTGAAACAACACTTATGAAAAAGTCAATAGCTTACTGTGCTGTTTGCTGCTCTCCCTCTGCCTGGCTAGAGGCTCGTTGCCTTTCTTACACACATGAGCTGTCTGCAGGGTTTGAAGAATGTGAAGTGCTCCTCCAAAACCTTTTCTGTTGTGTGCTGATGAGCCTACTGACAGCGACCATTTGGCTGAACGGCTGGTGGTGCGTATGCAAACCACTGCTGTTGATATTTTCACTTGTAAATACATGGGAGGCGGTTTCTTCATATGTATTTCTTATGTGCAGGCATCCTCCTAACATATTTAATAATGTTTGTTACTGACCAGTTTTGGGGTTACCTTTTTGTTTTTGTGTGGTTACATTGCCCTTTCAACTGGGCTTCTTGAAAGTGTCTCCTTCCTTAATTTATTTGTGATTTGGCCTTGAAAATTATGTAATAAATTTTGTCTTGTAAGTATCTCTTGTTTTGATCTTGTTTTTGAAGTGTTAAAGATAACTGATAGCATCTTGATTAGAATCATCCTCCAAAGAGGGGGTTTCTATGGCAACCAAGGCCTCATATTCGTGTGTATGGTGTCTTTGAGTGCAAACAGAACATGTGCTTCTGGGAATCAATGTTCAATAAAAGGTAGTAAACAAAAGATATTGTGTTTGGCACAGTCATCGATGGTGTTTTCAATTCACAAACATATGAAACCTTGCATTTTTTTCTACCAGGAGTCTCCTTTTCTTTTTTTTTCCCCTTTGTGTGGGCTGATGGCCTGTCCCCATGTGACATTTGACTGGACATCAATGCATTATTCCTTTCCAAATTGATGGATTAAATCTAAATATATGAGTAAACCTTGCTCTAAAAATCTAATTAATCTAATTTACTAATCAGACTACACCCAGACAAAACTGAAATGACAGTAAATAAATAAATATATTGTATAGTTTTTGGGTCCCTTTCAACAAAGATTAATATAGTTAAGATACAAATAAAAATGAGCATTATGTATCACCACCTACATTTCCTATGCACTGTACTGTAATTACCAACTCAAACAATAAAAAAACCCATATTAAGCTTGCAGCGGATTCATATCTTGTTTGTTTTGTTGCTGTCAATAAAACAAGACAACAGGACATGGACACAAGCTCCTCTCTGCATTTCATCCATCTATCAAAGCAGGCCTTCGGGAGAAGAGTGAGTCAGAGGCATAATGCTCTGCTCATTAACCCACGGATTCTGACGCACACACCCCACCGAAGCAGCTCACCACCGCAGACACTGGGCAGAGCAAAAACAAAACACAACATTTTTCGTATTATCACT